ATTTTTTGGTTGCAGCCATCATTGTTGTTTGGTGGGCCGAGGCTGGATTCAAACCCACCAGCTCAGGTGTATGTGGCTGACACCTTAGCCACTTGAGCCACAGCGCCGAGCCAGGAACACATTATTCTTAGTAAAGCATCACAAGAATGGAGAAGTGTCGATCCTATGTACTCAATTTTGATATGAGGACAATTAATGACAATTAACAACATGGTGGGGGTAGAGGAAGGGGAGAACAGAGAGAGAAAGAAGTAGGGAGGGGTGGGGGAAAGGAAAAGCACAGAGAGGGCGGGGGGGTGGGGTCTTGGTGTGTGTGACACATCTTTGGGGGGCAAGACACAACCTTAAGAGGACTTTACCTAACTTTACCTAAAGTCCTTAAGAGGACTTTAACCTAAATGCAATCAGTGTAACCTGGTTTCTTGTACCCTCAATGAATCCCAACAATAAATAAATAATAAAAAAAAATAAAAATCGGGCCAAAGACCTTAATAGACATGTCACCAAAAGAAGAAATACAGAGAGCAAACAAGCATATGAAAAGGTACTCCGAATCATGTCATCAGAGAAATGCTAATGAAAACAGCAGCATGATACCACTGCACATATTAGAATGGCTGAAATCCAGAACACTGACAACAACAAATGCTGGTGAGGGTATGGAGCAACAGGAACTCCCATTCATTGCTGACAGGAAAGCAAAATGTGACAGCCACTTTGGAAGACACTTGCATGGTTTCTTACAAAACTAAACATACTTTCACCATATAATCTAGCAGTCACACTCTTTGGTATTTACCCAAATGAGTTGAAAACTTATGCCCACAAAAAAAGCCCACACGCAGATGTTTATAGCAGCTTTATTCTTAATTGCCAAAACTTGGAAGCAACCAAGGTGTCCTTCAGTAGGTGGACGGGTAAATAAACTGCGGTACATCCAGACAATGGAATATTATTCACCGGTAAAAGGAAATGACGTATCAAACCGTAATGAGACATGGGAAACTCTCATCCATACTTCTAAGTGAAAGAAGCTGATCTGAAATGCGTACATACTATATGATTCCCACTGTCTGACATTCAGGAAAAGGCAAAACTACGGAGACAGGAGAAAGGTTAGTGGTTGATGGGGGTTGAGGGAAGGGGAATGAACAGGTGGAACACGGAGGATGTGCAGGGCAGTGAAACTGCTCTCTATGATACGATAACGGTGCACACATGTCATTATACATTTGTTCAGGCCCACAGAATGTACAGCACCAACAGGCCCTGCTGTGAACTATGGACTCTGGTGTCACTGATGTGTCAGTGTAGGTTCATCAGCTGTAACAAATGCACCACTATGGTGGGGGATGGCGATGGGGGAGGGGAGACTGTGCACAGGTCAGGCAGGCAGTACACATGTACAGGAACTCTCTGTACCTTCCTTAACTTTGCCTACAAACAAAAACTGCTGTAAAGAATAAAGTTGGTAAAAAAGAAAAGAATGTTGACCAAGGTAGCAACAGTGGGGATGGAGAAAGAGACAAGTTGCAGGTGGGATGAATGACTCCAGTTTGGCTGTGGAGTGGGGTTTGGCCACAGGATTCACAGAGGGTGGTCCACTGGAGGGCAGGGTGAAGGTTGGGATCATTTCTGCTGTAGACATGCTGAGTTTGGGGAGAGTGGGAAACACCCGGTGCGAGTGTACAGCATCGAGCATACAGCATCTATTTAAATTCGTGATTCTAAAGTTCAGAAACATCATGTAGAATCGAGAGGCATCAATATATAAAAGGTGGTTTAAGCCAAGAGAATGGAGACACTTCCCACTATAACATGAAGAGGGAGGAGAACCATGGGCTGGGTCTCTGCAGGGGTTCCGTGAATGGCCCCAATGTGTAATTTAGAAAGTATGTTCCCTCGTGGCCCCAGCCACCCCCTCCCTTCCTCCTTCTGAACCCCCATGTTGCACCTTCTTTCTTGTCCCCATCAATGGCAGCCAACCTGGGGCTCCCCTTCTTGGAAAAGGAAGCCGTGGTCAGAGACTTGAATGCCCACGTATCTGGCGGGGGTGGGTTGGCAGCCGGAGAGCGGGGAGAGAAAGACCAGAGATGTTTGAGGGGGCAAGGGAACTAGAGAACCAGCTGGGAGGGAGGAGGATCAGAATGGGAAGGTGAAGAGGCGGAGGAGGGAGAGGACAGGAGAGGGCTCAGTGGAGAGACGAGGAAAGACAGAGACCTTTAAGAACCAATCCAGCATGAATCACGCTGATTATTTTTTTTAACTTCCGGAAGCTCTCATTTACCCACATGTCGAAAGGGAGTTTCTTCACAAATAGCTGAACACAGGGCTAAGAGTGTTACCGGAATTTCTCTCCCAGGTCCCTGGTCTCAGAAAATGGAAGAATTAATTCATGGACCACCACGAGTAAGCGACAGGACAGAGTTTATTACAGATAAGTGAAAGAACGAAGCAAAGCCTCTGGCACAGCGGAGGGGTGGCGGTGGGCAGCTGGTTTGGGCTGTCTAGAGGTTCATAGGCAGCTTCTCTCTCCCCGCAGACAGGGGGTTTGGGGAAATAGAATGTATGTTTAAAATCTGTCACAACCATTGGTGCCAGCGGCCTGTGGGCAGAAGTTAATTTTCAAACCACCATTGTGTAGGAATGCGGTCTTGTTTAGGGCATCACTCTCCTCCGTGGGAGTGGCGGCTTAGAAGGAACGTTGATCAAACTGGTTTATGAGCCTACCTGGGTCCAGAAAGTGGGGTCTGCGTGCAGCCCTAGATGAAGGGGACCTGCACCAAGAGTACGTGTAGCTGTGAATGTGGATGGCGGAGGGACCGCCTGGGTGTGCGTATAAACGTAGGTGGAGGCTTGTGGTGCAGTCACACGCTGATACAGAAAAGAGAAATGGGAGAGCTTCCCGCAGTGGCCGTATGGTAACCAATGAGGTTTATCCGAGGCGCGATTATTGCTAATGGAAAACTTTTCCCAATACTCTGCTGTGATGACTTGCAATATAGTCAGCACTGGCAATTTTGGACGGTCTCTACGGAGACTGAATAAAAAAGAAAGAAAGAAAAGAGAAATGAGAGAAGGGCCTCAAAGTAAGCAAGCCGCTCTCCTGTAGCCCTAAGGAGTCTGTTGTCATCTCCTCCGGGCTGGTCCTCAGACCAGTCCCCATGAGACTTTCCTCACTATCACCTTGTTGAAGGCAGAATCTCATGTTCTGCTCCTGTCCCCCACCTGGAGAGGCCAGCCCCTGTGCCGTCTACACGGCCAGGTTAGGGAGGTCCAAGGCTTCAGGGATGTCCAAACTTTTCTTCTTTTTGGCCGCACATTGGAAGAGTAAGAGTTGTCTTGGGCCACACATTAAATACACAAATACTAACAAAAGCTGATGAGCGAAAACAAAAGAGCCCATGTCTACTTTTCATTGATATCTGACACCAAAGATAAGCTAAAAAAAAAAAAAAAGTCCTCACAAAATCCGCATGCTGCCCATGGGGACACATCCCTGTGCCCACGAGAACTGAGAGAAGCAAGGCCATGCTTCACCAGAGAAGTCCTGGACCACAGATGGGGACCTGCCCCACCACACTTGGCCCCAGCCGGCTCCCAGCATTGTCCTTGCACCTGCTGTAGTTTCCAACCCCTTCCCTGCCCCTCTCTAGCTCTGGCACTCTCGCCTCCCCAGGATGCTACATCTCTGCCTTTCCTAAGTTGAGCCCCATGTCCACCACTTTCCTTAGTGGCAGGTAGCCAGCAGGTTTGCACACAGCTTACGGTTCTGAGGGCCTGAGAAAACACAGGGCCAGTGATCTATGGTGCACAACATAATTACTTTCCACGTCATGGGCAATCTTTGTGGCATCAGTATCACTGTGTTATATCCCATCTACAACATGTCCTCTCCCAAACATTGCTCTAGGGTTGAAAACATTGGGCAACTACTTTTCTTCTTTAAAGGAAGGGTTTTTTTTTTTCCCCACTGAGAGGAGAGCTGAGCCTGAGAGGTGAGAAGCAGGGCATTCCTCCAGGTCCTTGCAACAAGTAGGTCTCAAATCTGTCTTCTCTGCAGAGAGCCCAAGAAAATGGGTGTTACTATGTCCTGCCTTACCTGACATCTCTCCTATAGCCTCGGGAGGAGCATCCGAGAGGATCCCAATCCCAAGGGCAGAAAGAGCACTATCATTTGATTTGCCACATTGTTTTATAACATGATCTGGATGCCATCTCCTCCGGTAAACCATAAGTATACTAAGGGCTGGTCCTGGGTTACTTGGCACATTGCCTGGCACATTGTGATCTACATGAAGTAAGAAAACACGGAGTGAGTACTTATCCTGTGCAAGGCAAGCATGAATGACTTATGAATAGATATTTCTCCTGTGCCTATATTACAGATGCTGAAATGGAAGCCCAGAGAGGTTAATTAACATGGTCACAGTCACACAGGTAATAGAGACTCACCTCGTTTTCAGGTTTCTGGGTTTCTAGGGGAAACTTCTGTAAAATATTCACGTATCAGCAGAAATCTGGAGCCAGCTCCAGGTCTGGGAGGGCCAGCTCAGCAGAAGTATTGGCCCCAATAGGTGGCCTTGAAGGATTTAGAATTTCTCCAGAGGGGAAATAATGATAAATACTTTTTTTATGATAAATGTCTACTGTTTTTGCAATATACTTTGGAAAGCCCTTTCCTATCTGATATCTTGTTGATGCTGTGAAGAAAGTAAAGCAGATACCATTCCCACTTCTGTTGGAAAAACTGAAGCTCTAAAAGAAGTGACTCAGCCAAGGCTGTACAGCAGGGTGAGGGCAGGAATGGAGTCTGTGGGCGGGAGAGACTTTCAGAAGAGGACGGCTCTTTCCTTGAATATGAGTGTGAGAAACAGTTATGTTCTTCTGCCCAACAGCTCAAAGCATCCATAGGGGGGAAAGTCTCTGTCCCCAGGGGCTACTTCTCAGGGGCAATGTTGACCATGCACCGACTTGCTCCCTTCTCAGAGGCAGCAGCTAAATTTCTAGCACTCAGAGCAGTGCAGGGATGGCACAGGGCTCCTCTGCCTCAGCAGCTGCATGCTCCAAAACCAGCTTTATGAAGGAAGGCTGGCAGTTTTTTCCCCCATACAACACCACTAGGGTCTTGCAAACGCCAGACTTTAAAGGTGGTTGTGTAAGTTGCACCTGCTTGAAGAGGCTATGTCAGATGGTCACAGAGTGGCTACTCCACCCCCAAAGACCCCTAAACTAAAGCATGGGTGGCACAGCAATAGTCATCATCAAGCCTAGAAGTCTAGGCTGAACTGGGAGGGAAACACCACTCGAGACAGTCCCTGCCCTTATAGGCAATGTGTTCAGTTTAGACATCGGTACAGTTGTGCATGTGTGGACTCAACAGACCTCCTTCAGATGTGTGGGCACCTAACTCCTAGAGGATCAGCTGCCCAGCACCTCCTTTTCTCAAAACTGCATATCCACATGGTTACACCAAGACTCCCAGGAGCCAAGTGCCCTTCTCCTCCCCTTACAGCCATGCTGATTGGACCAGCTGCACATAACCCACCCAAGCTGGGCCAATCAGAGTCCCTCCCTGAGAATTTGGATTTGGAACCAAGAGATTCCAGCATAGGCTAAACTTCTCCTAAACAAAAAGGAGAGGAGCTTTGGAAATGTTAGTGGAGGCCATTTTCCTTCATGCAGTCGAGAACACAGAGAAAGCAAGTCTTTGGCAAGAGGGAAGAATGAGTTGGAACTGAGAAGAGGAGGCCCAGTTTCATCCCTGTCCTTTGGTTCCATGATAGCCAGTGATTCTTCTAATAAAAGCCCTATTTTTGCTTAGAGTTGGTTTCTGTTGCTTGTAACCAATAGTTAATACAGTATAACTCAGTTGCACTCAATCAGGGGTGGTTCTGTTCACCAGGGGACATTGGGCAATGTCGAGATATTTTTGGTCAACATTACTGGGGGGAGGGGTATCAGCTGGCATCTAGTAGGTAGCCAGGGATGCTGCTAAACATCATTCCATGCACAGGACAGCCCTGGCCCCTCATACAAAGAACCACCCAGTCCATAATGTCAAGAGCGCTGAGGTGAAGGAGCCCTGGTTCTAATTCAACCAATGCATATCTAAGTCAAGACCATCATCCTGTAAAAACTGGTTCTAGCTCTCATTTCTCCTTTTAGCAAAGATTCTTTCATTTTATTTATTTATTTATTTTGAGAAAGAGTCTCCCTCTATCACCCTGGGTAGAGTGCTGAAGCATTATAGTTCACAGCAACCTCAAACTCTTGGGTTCAAGTGATCCTCTTGCCTCAGCCTCCCGAGTAGCTGGGACTGTAAGGTGCCCATCACAATGCCCGGCTATTTTTAGAGATGAGGTCTCGCTCTTGCTCAGGCTGATCTCAACTCCTGAGCTCCGGCGATCCTACCCACCTCAACCTCCCAGAGTGATGGGATTATAGGTGTGAGCCACCATGCCCAGCCAGATTCTTTCGTTTTAAATGATAATATTCTGGTGGGAAGAATTCTCATACCCTGAGTGTGGGAGGATTGTCAATTAGTGGAACGTCTCTAAAGAACCATTTAAATATGATTATCAAGGGCCTTAACATATTCACTCTTAGAGCAGTAATTTACTTTGTATAATTCATTCTTGGTAGAAAATCTTAATTCAGAGATATATACAAAGATTTATGCAAAAGGATGTTCATTGCAGCTTTATTTATAATGGCGGTAAATTGAAACAACATAAATATCCAACTTCTGCATATTGGTTACATAAATTATTAGATACTCATAGCACAGAAAAATATATGGAGCACTCAATAGTATGTTTGTAAGATTATTTAATAACATAGGGAAATGCTCATAATGTTAACCGAGAAACCTAAATATAAAGTTTCTGAAATATGTATAAGCCCAAGAAAAAAGGCTGTAGGGAAATATATCAAAATATTAACTGCAGCTATCTCTAGGGACTAGGATCACTACTAGTTTTTATTTACCTTTTGTTTTTTTGAGACGGAGCCTCAAGCTATCCCCCTGGGTAGAGTGCCATGGCATCACGCTCACAGCAACCTCCAACTCCTGGGCTCAAGCAAGTCTCCTGCCTCAGCCTCCCAAGTAGCTGGGAGTACAGGCGCCCGCCACAGCACCCGGCCATTTTTTGGTTGCACCCATCATTGTTGTTTGGCGGGCCCGGGCTGGGGATTCGAACCTGCCGCCTTAGGTGTATGTGGCTGGCGCCTTAGCCGCTTGAGCCACAGGCGCCGAGCCTTATTTACCTTATTAAAAAAAAATTTATTTTCCAGCCAGGCACAGTGGCTCACACCTTTAATCCAAGCACTTTGGAAAGCCAAGCCAGGAAGGTCACTTGGGGCCAGAAGGTTGAGACCAGCCAAAGCAACATTGCAAGATTCCTTCTCTAAAAAAAGAGAGAGAGCGAGCCAGATAGAAAGGGGCATGCAGGGGGCAAACTAGAGCACAGACTGGGCATCTAGCAGAAGGGCCGAGGGTAGGTTTTGCAGTGTTAGGAAAGGTGGTGGGGCCAGGGCTAGGCAGAGGTTAGTCACTGTCACAACTGTGCTCTGAGCTACCCATGGGAAAGGAGAAAGAAAGAAAAATAAAAACCATTTAAGAAATGGGGAATCAGAAAGAAGAGTGCTTTGACACAAGCATGGCTAGAGAGGAGAACATCCCCTCCCTAGAGGTAAGTTGATTGGAGAAGGTTCCAGAAAGGAAGGGGTGAATACAGAGGGGAATGTGTTTATGCTGCAGACCAAAGCTCAGGGCACTTGGAGAACAGAAGGAAATGGGGGACGGGACTCCATGAGTTATAAAAGGCTAATGAGGTTGCCTACTCCCAGAAGAAACCAACAGAAAGTTTTTGCTTCCCTGGTGACCAAGAAGCCCAGAAGGGGCTAGGTGTGGAGGCCAAGGGAAGGTCCAGAAGAAAAGCTGGAGCCTACTAGGAACTTGGCAGTGCTGGATTAACTTTGCAAACTGAATGAAGTAATAGAACTGGCTGTCTGTGCTGGAGCATACTGGGTAGCTTG